TCAAACCCTTACTCTGAACCATAGATCCTGCTCCCTACCTAGAATTTGTACATACAGATCCCTGGAAACAGCAGAATATGTATACAGTACAAGAGGATGCAATGCATCTATATATTTAAACCTTCAAGTAATAATGAAAAATATTACTATGGGTTTCATATGCAGTGACTGAATTGGCTAGTGTTCATTAAGCTTGGCTTTAATTCAGAGTAGGAATTCTGTTACAATAAAGAACATTTATTATTAAATCATTGTTTCTCCCAGAACAACTGTCCTATTGGGCCTAATCAAAAGCCTATTGAAGTTAGTGGGAATCCTTCTATTGACTTCAGCGTAGGTTTACTGTAAATGGAATCTGCATACCAAAAGGCACTGTAGTGATTCAACTTATGTTCTAATTTATTATAAATGAGTTTCACAATATACGCGATCACAAAAAGTAGGCATCACTGTATTTCATTTAAAATGTTAACACCAAGCTGTTCTCAAAAGTCCTGATGAAGCAATTGTCCAAGATATGCAATTGCTGCATTAACAAAGCCTTCTCAAATAGAATGTTTTCCTCTAAGACCCTTAAAAAAAAAGGGGGGGGGGCAAAAAACCCCACTCAAACTCTACTGTCCCATCCCCAATCAACTTCCTCAGGAAATGGTTACACCTTTATGCAAAAGCTTCCAAAGTATAATTTTACTGATGTTTTGCAGTAAGGGTGTAATTCAGTGGATGGATGAGTGACACACGAGAAAACAGCACAAAAATATGAGAAGGACTCCATGTAAACATAATAATCAATAATGAAAAATAAGTGTGGAGACTTCTGCTTGGCTTATTTATTCTTGTTAATTAATTCAACTGCTAATTTGGATTGAGAATCTGAAGTAAAAAAAGAGTAATGATCATTGTAAAGGGATTAGCTTTTGGTTCTTGTGAGAGATATGAAAAAATGTATTAGAGGTAGGGAATGCCATTCCCAGACAAGGCAAGATGTTAAGAATGAGAAAGGAGAGGAGGATGCAAGATTACTCAGAGTTCATGGCTGCCAGCGCTGTGTTAGATATCAAGGAGGTTGTCATGTCAGGAAGATAAATTTCTCCCACAGAGAGGATTTCACACGAAGCTTTTGAAAAGAAGTGTTCTCATAAGTAAATTGTACAGCTATTATAGAATTCAGTGCTAAGAGGTCAGTACAACCCATGTCCAACCACTAGAAGGAAATACAACTATAATGACACCAGCCTTTCATTTTCTTTAGGTCCTTATTTATGGGTATCCTTCGGAGCCCCTGCCATTCAATGAAAATGATTATAGAGAGAAGATATTGCCTTTGTAGTTAAGGCTGCAACCAAATTCTGTGATAAGCCCTACTTTTAGCCCACCTTATAACTTTTGCTATTAAATATAGTTTGACCTGAACATTGGCAGGTTTAATCCAATTACTGAGGAGAATTTTCCTGAGAGGTTTAAAGAAAATGGGGCAAAAATGTTTGAGTTACAGGTCATGAAAATTACTTTGATTTTTAAATGTGAGCTGTGTTTAACATTTGTTTATGTCCCTCTCACTCTCAAACAGTATCACACAACCCCTTCAAACGTTCTATACAGTTACATTCCCAAAGAATTGTGCATGACTTAATTTGAAGAAACAGGTTGTAATTACACAGACTTATATATGCTTGTTCTATTGAATTTAATTATTGTATAGAAGTGTATGTGTATAGAAGAATTTTAATTTTAATTATTGTATAGAAGATGTTACGAGTGTAAAATAGTATTTCATTGAAAGATGACAGGGCCAGAAAGAGTTAATTAACTCAGACTGACCTGACCCATGGGTGAACTGTAGAAACTGGTTAGGAAGATGTGTAAATGAATAGAGCTTTGAAATGCAAGTCTACATTGTTAGAGGTAAAAGGGTAGATGCTTGCTCAGGGCTTGTGATGTAAGCAAACAAGTCTTGTCTATTGCTATAGTTTTAAATTCAAAGATCAAAAAAGGAATATTAACATTTATGATGATATTTGAGTGAAATAGTATTATTGTCTCTGTCTCTTTGAAGATTGTGGTAACCTGTATCTGAACAGTTTAACGGATAAATTATCCTGTGCTAATTGCCAGGATGTTTGGAAGAAGGAGAGTTAGGCCTATTGTTTTCTCAGGCCGAAAGGCGGCTGGAAATGTATAAAAATCCTGGGAAATAATCCTTCTTCATCTCAGATCTGCTTTGGGTTTCAAGAGGGGGAAACCTTAAGCCACAAGAATTGAGATCCCCAGTCATTGACTGGAGCCACCCTGAATATGGACATTGGACTATAACCTATGGACTATTTCTAAAAGGACTTTTGGCAACTACAAGCTCACTTCTGCTATGCATCTGAACCTCAAGAATTGAATTCAAGTCTGTATGTATATTGATCTTTTAACCAACACTCTCTCTCTCTTTTCTTTTTTAATAAATTTTAGTTTAGTTAATAAGAATTGGCTATAAGCGTGTATTTTGGGTAAGATCTAAGTTATAATTAGACCTGGGTATGTGGCTGATCCTTTGGGATTGGAAGAACCTTTTCTTTTATATGATGAAGTAAGATTTTCAGTAATCATCATCATATCTGACAGGTGTGTCTGGACGAAAGCCTGAGGCTGGGTTCTTTAAGGGAAACTGCATTGTTGGACTTCTGAGTAACCAGTGAGGTACTATAGAAGCTGTTTTGTGCTGGCTTAGTAAACCTAAGTATTGGAATATCCACCAGCTTTTGGGGTTTGTCTGCCCTGTTTTGTTTGCAGTTCACTCTGATTGAGTTACCTCAGCTGGCTCCCACGGGCAGCACCGTCACAATGTGACAGAGTAATTTGTCCATTGTTGGTTACTTCTGGTTTAAAAGGATATAAGGATCCTTCTATGGAGTGGGTGCACTTAAAAGCACATTGTTATATTCCTTTCCAGGAGATTCAGTAAACATCATAGCTGCATGGGGTTAGGGGTGTAGTTACAACTTTGGGATCATTTTTTGAACTGGTCCCAAAACTCAAAATTTTGGAAGTACAGTTTGGATAAAAACCCAAAAGTTTGGATGTTTGCTAAAACATATCAAGTGTCTTAAATCCATGGGTCTGCAAGGGGGCTTGGAAGTTTCCAAAAATATCGTTTCCTGGTTTTTGGTTTTGCTTTGGGTTCCAGGTGGAACCCAGCAATTTATAATCATATAGAAATAGAAAATGAAAGGAAAAGCCCATCTCAACTTCAAAGTTTTAGTTTTATTTTAACTTTTGAGTAATGTTCAAATCTGGTTCTCGTACCTGAATTGATTTGCCCATTGCCAATCACGATGGCAAAAGACATGGATTCTATAATTCATAAATGAATCAGGTCAGAAAAGAAAGCTGATAAAAGAAACATTCTCAGTCTGTTTTACAAAAAAAAAAAAAGAAATATAATTCTGTACAAATATCCAGTCAAACAAGAAAGTTGAGAAAAAAAACAAAAACAACCCCCCACCCCCAAACAAACTACAGAAAGCACAGGAGGCAATTACATGAAGTTTGCAATGTGGTATGGAGGTCATTAGGGAAAAAACAACACACTAACAAGCAAGGGAAGCTTTTTCTTCCCGTTCTATTTTAAATTATAAGTTTCCTTGACTCCTTGGGAGTTTTTATTTGCACCACAACCTCAGAAAAGGGAAGGGGAGCATACTGGTCTCTGCAAAAGGTAGAGCCTCTGAGAGTTTCTGTTCTCTAAGCAGCAGGCTAAATGACAATGTCATTCTGCTCTTTTGAGTGACTTTGGTTGCTTGGAGATGCAATGCTTTGTCAAGAGCCACATAATGTCTTTTCCAAAGAAAAGACGTATAGATTTTGTTTTTCTCTCTTTGTTATGCTGACTAACCAAGAATTGTTCTGGATGGACTCTAAAGAGCTTTCAACATTACTTTACAATAAAATTATACTGAACTCCATCCAGTGCTTGAGGGACAGCTCTTAAAAAGTTAACAGTACAAACAGGCTAAATCAAACATCATTATGTATCAACACCACCAAGAGACAGACTAGCTATTTAAAAGGCACATTTTCAAATCTTGCATAGGTTTTTAAAGAAGCCATGTGAAATCCTGCAATTTAATTTCTCATCCCCTTCATCAGGTTGAGGTGGCTTCACAGAAAAACTTCAAATTCTATGCAAGCCTTTAAGTAAATTCCTCATTTCACCCCATGTTCAACCTCCTGCCCCTGACTCCACCCCATATATCTGTACTGTATATCAGGAAGCAGATTTCCTATTTCTAATAGTCTTCCTTAAGCTACAAGGTGGAGGAACAGGCTAACTGACTGTCCCTGAAGGCATTACATAACCAATCTGCTGCTTGTAGGCCACCACATACTCAAAAGACTATTTAAGAAAAGGAGTTGCTCCTTAATGAGGGATAAAATAATGGCAAAACTAAGTCTAAGTTCCTTTTTTAGATCTGCATTTCCAATGCCAGGCTTGGTTCACATTATAGGTAAAGCCTCCTATTTCCCCCCCCAGCACTTCCCAATGAAGTGTTTGAAGACTCTATACCCTGGTGACCATACACCCTCCCATGTGCCTCCTCATAGCATGGAACAGGGCAGTAAAAGCTCTATTTCTGTTTCCCTCCTGGTCTTGCACTGACTCACCCAGCCTCCAACACCTTCAGAGGTGAGGTGACATAGCTTTTCCACTTCCAGGGTAACCAATACCCAATATAAGCATGAAGAAATGCAAACCCTCCCCTTCCCTCAGGAAGACCCTGATAGGCAGCCCTCTTCCTTGGCTCCTGGACCCAGCCAATCTTCTTCCCCTACAGTAAGAGCTGAAGTTCTCCCTCTCCCTCTCCCTTTTAGCTCCTCCGGCATAGTCTACACCAACTTCAGGTGTCATGGGGCAGGGTTGATTGCCACCCCCTCATAGGCACAGCCCATTGACTCTTTCCTGACTCAGGAGGGCTTCCAGCCTATCAAACCTTCTTATAACTTTTACTCACTAGTGCAAAGTCCTTGTTGAGAATCATCTGCTCCACCAGTGATGACTCATTATGGAACAGATGAGGCTGCATGTGACTCCACATATGGGGAAACCACCAGAACTCATCCACAGACCCCAACAACAGGTCATCACCTTCATCCTCCTCTTCGGTTCCTGCAAAATAAGAAAGAAAAAATAATAAGTGTACAGTGAAAGCTGCAAGTAACTGCATTTTTAAACCAGACAGATGACTGTCTCACCAACTGTAATGCCATAAATTTGGTGCGATTACACTGCTGTGTTAAGGAAAGGATGATATGAAGAGTTATGTTTGGTATTTCCCTCCCTACTTATATTATGTTAATTTATAACAATGACAACTAACTTTCAAGAGCAGGCTCAAAAGGAGAACCAAGGTCCAGGAGTAACCAAAAGTCCATGTTGTTTACTGTTGGAAAGTGGGCAGTCATGATCTCTCTGATTTGGTCTTCAAAAGGCTTTGAACTGCTACCAGGAGGAGAGAGGACCAGAGCTGAACTACTTTTTCTCATGAGCTGTGGCTGACTCTTGGAATAGTACTAATGTGATCCTTAGGTGAAAGAGCATATTTATCTGGGCTGGTGTATATGCAGAGGCAGCAGTAGAAACCAGACATTTACATTTTATGAAAACTCAGAACAAAACCAAAAGAAACTCCCACTAAGAGCCTCATCAAATTGAAGTCTGATATATTTTGATGAAATCAGAATCAAAAGAAATATGAAACAGTTTTATAAAGTAACTAGGCAGTAAAGTAAAGCTATAATAGGGATTTGAAAAATCTACTCAACTTGCAAGTGCAGGGTGGAGTTTTCCTTGGTATGCCATCTTTTTTGCGGAATTTAAGCTTTCATTTTAAATGAAAGTTAATAGCTCATGCTAGTGAAGACATGTGCCACAATACAGGCCGAAGAAAGAACATATGTTTACCAGAGTGGGTGCAAATTTTTGTCTGAAACCTTTTTCTCTGAAAAATTCAGATTCAGGTCAACTGAAATTGTCAGTTTTTGCAAATTGCTTCAGGAGAAAAAATAAAATAAAATGGAAATGTCAAAATAATTCATATTGATGTTTTTAAAATTAAATATTCTGATTTTGGGCGAGAATCACAAGGGCACTTGGTGCCATTCGGAAGGCAAAGTAGGAGAAGGTGCTGACTCTTCCCCCTCCATGATAGCCCAATAGTTAGGATACTTAGCTGGATGTGGGAGACTTAGGTTTGAGTCCTTGCTCTGGAGCAGAGACTTGTAGCCAGGTTGTCCCCTCCTAGGTGGGTGCTCAAACCACCAGGCTATAGAGTCATTCTTTTTCTTTTTGAGGCCCAATTAATATTTAATTATTAAAAAGAGTGGAACTGCTTCAACAGAAGTGATTAAGAGAGTCCTACACAAGAATAACCATCGGGCTATAGAGTAAGGCACTTACCTAGAATAAGTCCCTTATTGGGCATACGGGGGCACCAGCACCAACACAAGCACCATTCACAAAACAGTGGTGAAGTCCCCTAGTGATTCTAGCCCTTCATTTTCAAATGTCCTTGACTTTAATAAACAACATTTTAAAAAGTTTTGTTTTGCTTGACCTGAAACAAATGCTGTTTTCTTCTATTTTTCAGAACTGCTGATGAACTGAAAAGTCAATTATTTGAACAACTCAAGTGGTTACAACAAAGAAAATCTTCAAAATTACAAATGACATAGGGCTACTTTCTAGAGTCTGCAGACACATAGCCCAGTGCTTTTTAAAATATGGATGGCTACATTAAGTCTCACTAACTTCATCCTCAAATTAACTATTAAAACTTCAGTCAGTTTGCTGGCAGCATTCTTTCTAGTTCCTTCACCATTTAATTTTAACAGCTTTTATTTAGCTTAAGACATATCTTTACTTTTCACAAACAGATTGATTATAGCACACACAGATTGCTTTTTTTTTTAGAAGTCTTTCAACACTTTGCAAAACTAATTACAAAGAAAGTGGTTTGTGGTCATCCTTATTTGCTTTCACAGCAGGTATTAGAAAGATAAGTGTTCAATGTATTATTTACATTTGTATTTAATCTCTGCAACGTTTTGAAGAATATTTCTGTACAATGAGTGTATCACTATCCCTTTCTTTTGGTGCCCTACTAATCTATGTATATACTATTATTTGTAGCACAATACAGGTTGAAGAATACATACCAAATACCCTATATGACACTTAGTTATGTTAGTGAGAGTTTCTCTTAAGATAAAAGAATGAAGAGTACTTGTGGCACCTTAGAGACTAACAAATTTATTTGGGCATAAGCTTTCGTGGGCTAAAACCCACTTCATTGGATCCATGCAGTGGAAAATACAGTAGGTAGATGTATATACACAGAGAACATGAAAACATGGGTGTTGCCATACCAACTGTAACATGACTAATCAATTAAGGTGGGCTATTTTCAGCAGAAGAAAAAAACTTTTGTAGTGATAATCAGGATGGCCCATTTCAAACAGCTGACATGAAGGTGTGAGTAACAGTAGGGGGAAAACTAGCATGGGGAAATAGTTTTTACTGTTAATAGCCCACCTTAATTGATTAGTCACGTTAGAGTTGGTATGGCAACACCCATTTT